ACTATGGCCTTCCAATTCTTGGAGTAGAAAGGGACGTAGCAGAACCGTGTGGCGGTCTTCATATCGGCCACGCTAGCGCCGCCGCCGCACCGCCCGCACGTTCCGGCCGCCGGCTTGCTCCGCCGGACCTCCTTTGTCTGATCAACCAGAAAGCAGAAGCAGACCATTGATGAAAGATGGGATTAGTTGAGAGGAGCCTGGCTGGTGGGTGGTACTATACATGCCTTCTCATGATGTGTTATTTATAGGTGTGACAACAAATTTATGGGTAATTAAAATCCCAGCAGTGGACAGTTGGGCCTTTAGGTATTGACTTTTTCTTTTTCTTTCTTTTTGGACAAAAGTATTCCATATCCATGATCTAGTCAACACATGAATCAGCTACTTGTGTTAAAATAGTTACCCCATACAACAAAGGATTGGCCCAAATTTGATGAGTGCTTTTAAAATTTAAATCATTGTGGGGTTGGAACCCTATTGGTCAATGGTCAGGCAAGAGGAAATGTGAAGCCGGTAGTCTAAGCCAAAACTAGTTGGCAATTCATACTCTATTAAGCTTCTCAAAATATATGATAACAATAGCAAGTTTTCTAAACAAGAGTATTTTATATTTTCTCTCTTAAATTCTTAATATAATCAGATCCTAGTAATCATGACAATGGTTTCAACAATTACACAACATGTACTCGAATATGCGAATATGCGAATGCCTAGATGCCTTGCTCTTCTGTTACAGGACTCAACCTCTTGCTTTATATAGATGTAAAGATTGAAGCCATTTACTTGAGTCCTACATAATTAGGGACGGCAATGGGGCAGGTTTGGGCGGGAGTTGGCTCCCACATCCCCCGCCCCATGTCTAAAAAGTTTTCCCCATCCCCCACTACTCCCAGACCCACCCCATACCCGCCCCACCCCGGTGTCCCCCACGGGTGCCCATGGGTGCCCCCATATAGATTTTATTTACTCCCTTCATCCTATTTAAAAGTTCCCACGCGCGCGGTTTACGGTGTTTGACTAACCATAAAGTTCATTGATCCCTGTCATTAGTAGAATTATTTTTAGTAAATAAAATTTACATATTCAGAAACTACATTAAAAGTTCTATAATACCTGATAAAAAAAATTAATTTGATAAAAGTTATATATATAAAGTAAAGATTAGGAATAATGCACGTTGACTGGAGAATGTAGACGGGAACCTTTAAATAGGATGGAGGGAGTATCTTATTTGCATATTTGTTAACCCATTTTAAAGATAAATACACACACACATATAGCACTAAAAGAAGTAAGCTAGATAATATCGTGACATCGTGTATTATTCGTGTTTGATAAAAGTTAATTCCTTTTTAATAATTCTTTAATTTGAATAAGAAAAGTAAAAATATAAGTAAACATATTATGATCATGTATGTCGTTACAAATTTCTCATCAATTAGAATACAATTATTTATATACAGAGTATATCACACTTAAATATGCATATGTGTTCTATTTACTCATTTTCTCACTTTTAACACTCATATAACATTTATGACAAGTATTTTTATTTATTACGTATTATTATGATGATATAATATTCATTAATTCATTAGTCATGACTAATACACAGTTACACACATATACATGTATATATGTCTATATGTATATGCATGTGTTTGTTATATACCTCGTACTACATACTCTATAATTTACTTATATAAGGTTATACATTATTTATATGTGTATGTTTGTATATATATGTATGTTTGTGTTTATATATATAAAGGGGGCGGGGCGGGTGTAGCAATCCCCGCCCTCGCCCCATATTTTAACGTGATATAAATATCCCACCCATCCCCGTCCCCACCCCGCCCCAAACCCCACCCCATCCTCACCCCATGGGGCGGTTCCCCACGGGCCCCCGCCCCCAATCCTTATACATAATAGATAAACGGGCCATATTATTGGACACAATAAATAGTTCCTAACAATTCCCATGTGTTCGATCAACATTGAAGCATGGTGATAACACCCATTTTATGCGTGTTGGGATTGGTTTTGATCAATTTCCATAGCTTAAATGAGTCGCGAAGGACCAATTTAACTCAAACTACGGTTCACCGGATTTTTGTTTGCATTTAGTATTTTTAGAATTGAATTGAAGAAAATTGAACCTAACACTAGCGTTTAAGGATTTAGAGACACTTTCAAAGTCAATTGAGGAGCAAAGAGGATCCACAACAGTTGAAGAAGATGAATTTGAGAAGAAATAGCTCAAAGATAAGCACTGGACCAAACCTAGACTCTATAAGCAGAAAAGAGTTGAAAACAATTCATTTTTTCCAAAATACAATCCACTAGTTAAAAAAGTCATAAATAGAACTTTTTTATTTTTGATTGAACAAAAATAGCCTCATAAGGTTGAAGGACTACTGCCCCAGCGGCCCAACCGGACCACCGCTGCTCATTACCACAGATTTGACAGAATTTTGCCGCCGCTATCAGTATTTGCCGCCGAACCATCAACATTATCGGACTAACCCACCATCAACAGCTTGACCTCCATTATGCAACGAAATTAAGGAGCAGTTAGTTAAGTTAATTAATTTTTATTAATTAATAAATTATGTTAGTTACAAAATGAATTATCAGATCTATTTAGGAAAAAAAAACAAATTATAGTTTCCTATTTTTGAAAAAATATTGCATCATCCATCATTTATAATTATGACAATGTTAACTGACACATAGAATAATAAAGCAGATTGTACGATTGATATTTGTGTAAGGGAGAGAGAATTAGTCACAATAAGAAATTCTTTATTTAAAATGAAAAGTGACATACTCCCTCCAACCCTTAAAAGTTTGACCGGCACAAGGATTAACGAGAAAAAAACTATGTGGTTGAGATTTGTGCAAAGAAGAGAGAATTAAATGGAGCTACAATTTTTTTACTTAAAAAAGAAAAGACAAAGTTAAGAGAACTAAGGGGTTGTTTACTTTTTTTTTCATTAAGTCATGTCTGTATTAAGATGTCTGTCTGGAATAAGTGACACTAGTATAACAAGCTGTTTACATTGTGTGCTAAATGTATCCTATGAATGATATTCAATTACCAATTTATCCTTGTGCCTGTAACAAGTGCTGATTCTGCTGAATATCGTCTGTTTACTTTTACTATTCCACTTTTACTATTCCAGATGATATTGTTATTGCATATAATTTACAATAACATTAAATTAATGAGCAAACAAGTTCACGAAACCAAACAAAACAAATTCAAGAATATTCTGACAACATATTTAATTTATGCATTTCCTACTAATCTATTAGTCACTTCATCCCGTAAATTCGTCATATATTATATGGTTTGGATGCCCCATTGCATTCCTTCTATTTCTTCTCCGCTTGAATTTCACCTCATCCTCCTGGTTCATTGTTAAATATTGCCTCATTATCCATACCTAAATAATGACATAAGTATTACCAAAATAATTCAAGCTAAAAGGTCTGACTTTTGTTTCCAGTAGCACTACCCATACAATAAAATAAAGAAAACTAAAAGGAGTGTATTATGCAGATGTGCTGCACTCTTCACAGAGAGGGGTCTATAAGGCGGCCAGTTTGCAGGTGGTTTTGCTTGACGGGATTCTTGGTGAGATTTTTGTTGCTAGTTTTGACTGAACTACTTTCAAAATGAAAGTAATTTCACTCACACATATATTACTCCGTATATAGCAAGCTGAATTACTAGTAGCCGATTCTCAAACAAAAAAAAAACATCTTCCTCTTCCTATAATATAAATGTTTCTCCTGATTTTATACTTTCTGGTCAAATCCTCCACACAATTATTTAAAAATCATTTTAGGTTTATCCTAATTTATAGTCCTGTAATTCAAAACTATAAATTCAGTTAAAGTATTTTTAAGAATTATTTTTATGAAGAAAGTGGTCTTCATATTTCAATTGAATGTCAAGTACTCCTTTATACTAAAAATCGTAGATATGAAGCATACTTTCCAGAAAATCGAAATTAATGAAATTAAGCATATAAACGAACTCTTCAATTTAAAGAATTAGAAGAAAAATATAAATTTAGAGAGAATATCTAGATGAAGAAGACAAGGGATATGGTTGGCCTTTGATAGCGGCTTTCGTTATACGTTGCTGAAGATGGAATGGATATAGAGAGAATACGTTGAAGAAGGCGAGCCATTTGCCACTGAAGACAAGTGAAGAAGCAAGCGGCCATGAAGGCTGGTTACAACGTTTACGCTAAGGAGAACTCAGGGCATAAGGGAGAGTCTAATAAATTGAGTGCTGAGCCGCCTGAGCGAAACGTCTGTATGGTAAGGATAACTAAAAGAGTGCTGAGCGAATAAGTCAGGAAATGTCTGACCGAATAAGTCACAATTTTCATCAAGTCCTAAATAAACGAAACTATATACCTAAATGAATAAGTTATCATATCAATTAAGCTCATTAAGTTCAAAGTAAACAGGCCCTAAATGGGATCACAATTTTTTTACTTAAAAAAGAAAGGGCAAAGTTAATGTGACAACCCAAAAAGGAAAGTTAACAAAGTGTTAAGAGACAGATGAATAGTTAGAAAAGTTATAAGGGATGGAGGGAGTATATTTTAGTTTTTGTTTGAGCAATTTTTTCTTTTATAAGTAGCATAAATTTGACTATGTTTTTTATTCGCCATTCAAATAAAGAATCGGCTACTCGTCTTGTGAACAACCCAATTTACAAATCAGCTAACATAATATAGTTTTGTGATCGAAAAATTAGTCTCTACTCCTAATAATTTATTTACTCCTAAAGAATAAGGAAAAGGTGTTGGCTTTACTAATGAATGATTAGCACCATAAATAGAGGAAGCACACTACATGAAGTATCAATCAACATTTTCCCCAAAAAATGTCAATAAATAAAAATATCAAACCAAACCTATACAATATAACCTCAGTAAGACAAACTGAGATTTGAACATATGGTATAATATTTTGACCTGAAAGATCTTTTTTTGACAATCCAAGGAACACCCTTCACCCTGACCTTAGATTTGTACTGGCAGAGCCTTCCCTACCACGTGTACAATTTTTTCTATTATGTTAAGACATAAAGCAATAACAGAATTACAAACCTCACCCCCAGACCTCCACCCAAACAGGTTGTGGGTCATACTGCCGCCGCCATTGTTTGTCTAGCAGCTTCCCTCCTCATCTCTGCAGTTTTTCCACTTCCCTAGAAATACATGTACACTTGTTGCTTTCACCATTTGTAAAACGCACAATGAGGCTTATCAGTGATCAAATCATGCATTCATAAAAAATGAATCTTAATGACCAATATGCTCATCATTGATTCAGTACAAAAGAATCCAAATCCAACGAAGTAAATGATCTGCACTGAGAAAGACGAGCAATAAACAGGCAGAAAACATGTTTTACTTAAAAAGAAAAACTGCAAACCAAACAATACTAACTTCCGGCAACATAGTGCAAAACCACTGCAGATTGCACCTACCCCAACCAAAACATTTTCATATAAGAGTTCAATTGCTGGCAAGAATGCAATGCAAACAATACAATCAAAATGAACAACTTAGACGCTAAGGATGTTTTTGTTGGACTTACTTTAGTCCTAGACCAGAACAAATCAGACCAGACCAGACAAGATTTAAACGGACCAGACTAGAACAGACTTCTACAGTTATAAAATACACATGGACCAGACATTTATCGGACCAGATCAGACCAGACTTAAACAAACCAAACCAGACCAGGAAATTTCAGTCCATTCAGAAACAACCTAAATTTACATATTTAAAAAAAACTCATAATTAAGGATCCGTTTGGAGCCCCTGAAATTACTAGGAAAATAAAATAAAAAGGAAAGAAAAAAGACAACCAAATCCCGGGAAAAAAATTTATTCCAGAAATTTGTTGATCCTTGTTTTATTTATTAATATCGATTATATTAAAAGTAATAAATCTAAATATATTATTATGTGTAAGATTTTATGAAAAGAGACCATATTTCATTTCCCAAGGAAAGACAAAACACGTGAAAATAATTTCCATCGAATCCCCCCAATTCCCTAGCTTTTCCGAAGATCCAAACATACCCTAAAGCATGTGAGAAGATTGTAAACTCATTCTGACAATGAGAGAAGCACACTATGAGTTTTACATTCTTGAGAATTACATGGCTTGCAAAGAGTGGCCTACTGAGTTCGAGAATGAAGAGGCAACTTATGTCAAAGATTTGCCATTGAAAAAGATGGGAGGTGCCACCACAGCAACAACACAAAACCCAATGTGAAACTTCAACACGAATAACAGTAATAAAAAAGTAATACACAATAAATATCAATGCATGAAACAGTGAGAGCGCCTTAAACAGAAAGCTGAAAACAAGCACTAACCATATAAAACGCAAAATATCAGCTGATTTTCATTGCACCAACAGTCCTGCAAGGAGTATAGTTGAAAACAATACATTAGATAACTGAAAATAGTTTTAAATATTTAATAACAAATTTTTTAGCAGGAGAAGAGAGGGAAAGGATAAAGTTTAGCAAACCTCATTGCACAAATATAGAGGACGATACCATAAGACATAGGCCCCAGGGGCACCTGGTATGAAATAGATGATAGCAAGAAACCAGATTGTTGGGCCTGCGAGAAACATAAGTTAACTAATCTTAATGAAGGGTTGAATATAAAATTGGAACCAGCTATGGTAACAGGTACAATGTTCCAACCAAGACAGACAACAAGACCTGCAAGTCGCAAAAGCAAAAAGTGATTGCACCAGTGTGGTGCATTCATATTTCTATTCAGATCAACTCTTCCACTAAGAAAAACTCTAACAGCAACTAAAGCTTTATAAAACCTTAACAGCAACTCTAGCAAGAAACGCAATATTTTAATAACAACCCTATTTCTAGTCTTCACATATATGGTTGAAAGTAAAACAAACAGCAAATCATGGTAGCAAGATGTTGCAAAGACAGTTGAAAGAGTCCTGGTCCTGATTTTCTAATTCTTTCCAGAAGAAAAAAAAAGTTCACTAACCCAAACCATCTTCTTATTAGATGGGTGAACAGTCAAGGATGAGTAATTGTGATTTGTGAGCATCAGGGGCGGCTTGAGCATATCGGAGGCCCTAGGCAGAAAAATATATACTATGCACAAATCATATTGAAAATGTGATAATTTGATTAAAAAACACAATATGAAAAAAAGATTATGCAAAGTGCTAGATATAATGTTATTATTGTTCAAAATGATAAGCTTTCAAATGCAAACATATACTCAAAACCAATTAATAAAGAGTAGTATAAAATACACTATTGGCATCAAAACCTACATAGTTATATATAATACAAATTTTTTTAACAAGCCAGTTATACTGGTATCAGTCTTAAGAGAGTTGTTTTGGATGACACATACAATTACAAGGAGAGAAGAAACTTTTTATTTATAACAGAAAATATAAGCACATATAGACCATGAATTAACTATGAGCCACACAATTTCCATCATGAAAACATAATTACAATTTCCTAATTATTTTGGTAAAGATGATAATGACTACAAATCACATTTAATTAGAAGATAACAATCCATCATTTCTCAACAACTGATACTAATATTAATATTATTCTTAATATGGAGTACTAGTCAACTATGATATGATGATGATACATAAACGGAATAGTAATTTTAATATAATCTTGCCGTCTATTTACTTGATGTTTTTATATCAAGTTATTACAATTTTTCATGCTTAGTTGAGTTAGTTCTACTATACCACGCATATGTCCGGTTTGAAATCTCAAAGGAGGCATATACGGTCATACGGATATGGGTGCTTATCTGTAATTACATTTCCCACACCGGTTGGAAAGAACAATTTGTCCTCCACATAGACTTATAAGAAGGAGTTATACATAAGCATTCAAGAGCTGCCAGCTATTGTTGTGCCTTTCCAGTGAGTGGGCCCTTAGAAGGCTTACGTTTGGACTGTACTAAATAATACGGAGCACTAATTTTTTTTAGGCCCTATCCGCAAATGAGGCCCAAGGCACCTGCCTGGGTCAACTGGCCCCAAAGCCGGCTCTGGTGAGCATTGTAATAAAATGAACACACTATCATATAGTTCATGTACAAAGAAGCACTCTTTATTTCTTTATAGCTGAATTTGAAAGAAATTTCTTGAATTGGGTTGAACATAATGCCATTTCACTTTCAGCTTTTCGTACACTTTTTCCCTTTTCTTGAATTGTAGTTTATTTTCCCAAGATACATTACACTAGACATTTCTCCGATCACATCAAGATTCAAACAACTACAAGAAGTAACAAAAAGCATGCAATGATGACCTAATAAAACTTAAGTGTACTGGTATCACCTAAAGAGATGTACGCATAAGAAAAGTATTTAGCAGAAACATCAAGTATTTACAGGGAGCCCGAGGCAGGAGGGAGAGTTCTGTTCGAATTTCTTGCAAAATCTGTCCATCTATCTCCAAACTCCAAAGTGTTAGAGATTGGATGTGGGACCCTTCGTGTTGGGATGCATTTTATCCAGTACTTAAATCCAAAAGTACAACTGTATGGAAACAGATGAGCTGTCCTTAATGGCTGCATTGAGGTATGAGCTTCCATCCCAAGGGTTATTATCCAAGCGTCCTCTCATTTAGTAAGTCTGGATCTGGAACAATGTACGATTTCATATATGCAAGTGCTGTATTCCTGCATATTCCAGACAAGCTTGTTTGGGTTGGGTTAGAGAGACTTGCTAGTAAATTAAAACCATTTGGGAGTTCGTATATTTGTGTCCCACAATATAAAGTTCTGTTCGAGACTAAGAGGAGACAAATGTGCAAGAAGGTTAGGTTAGGTAATATTGGCCTTGAGTATCTTAGGAAGCACACTCATGATAGTTTACTTTTCAACCATTACGAGATTTGGTTTGATTTTAGGAGGTTCAAGGAATAACAAGAGCTTGCTTTGAGTTCAGGTTTCATTTACTCTTCTCAGAAGGAGGCTTGTTTCATTTTATGGAAGTTACTGAACTAGTTCCGTCGGACTACACTACCTTTTCACAGTTGTACCTTGGCAAAATTAAAAGTTATATTTTGACCAAATAGAACTCTTTTGGGACAGTCGTAGATATTCAGATGGAGAGTGATAAATCATAATCTTGAAGGCAAATTGGAACAATGTGCTTATGACCATGTTGTCTTAGTTCTTTTAATCGACCATTTATCACCAGAAGCTGACCACTCGTGCACTGTTTTGCATAGTCCCAGAGGACATATTTTGATGGAGCAGTCTGGTCATCAATGTATAGTTAATCTGTAAGGTGCTGTTCTGAATTTGCGCTGGAGAGTACTGTGTTTGGATTCTGGATGGAGGGTTTTGGAGAACTTGAGGGGTGGGCAGGGTAAAACAGTTATATAGAGAATACTATCTTAGAAAAGATTTTTTGTAAGATCGGAGTTTTTTTGTAAGATAAGCTATTTTAATCTTCATCCATTTCTTCTTGTCAAAAAAAGAAAAAAGAACAATGCACATATGCTATGCAAACAGAAAAATAATGAAACTACACTTTGTTGATTTACCCAACAATGTCATGAAAATCACATACTGCAACCTCTGTAGATGGATCGGAAATTCATTTGCAATATCATGGTAACAATGTCATGAATGCCACATACAGCTCATCTGTGTCCCAGCTGCTCAAAGACAAAGCATAGAATATGTACGATTGTTATGGGACAGATGAGAGCTTAACTAAAACAATCTGATTCTATGCAAGAGTGAGCAGATAATACATAGACCTACCTCATTTTATGGCATCTTCCTTCCTTTTTAGATCCTAAACAGAACACCGAAAATATATGCTTTAAAAAATATTTAAAAGCATAGGAATTTAGTTTATAAGATGAACCCTATTTAATGGTTGGGAAAAAAAACTGAAAATGAACAATCCACTTATGCTAGAATGCAAGATGCATGATTTAAAGACGAGGCAAATCGATTTAATAACAAAGCCCAAAAATATAGCTTTCCATGAACATGAATAGTGGGGTTACTGAGATGGAACCAACCATAAGAGAACTGGTAAAGTCAAGAAACTGAAAAGATCAAATTTGATTGCACATAGTAGTTCATCACCTCATATTTTTTATCACAGAAGAAGTCCAAGTCTGTAGCCTTCGGTCGGCTCCGCACAATCCAATCCCTCTCCCTTCTCCGGCTAATGAATCTGACTTGGACAGAGCCTCCACACTGCCCAAGCAAGGAGGGTACATGCTCATACTCTATCACAAACTCCATATTTTTCGATTCCCCCCTTCTCAACCCCTGTAGCATCTCTATCTGCTCCTCCCCGACTTGCAATCTCCAGTCCCATAAGGATAACATCATAATCCTTGACAAATCCCAAATCAAGCTGAATAGTCTCTTGGTGGCAGTGACGCATACTAAATGAAGAGTCCCTTAGATGCTTTCTTTGACAATACTCTTATCCTCGACTTCAAAGTTTGAACATTGCAAGCTTCAATGAATTTATTTTCTTCACATAATATGCACAACAACCAGTTAAGACTGCCTATGTAAGGGGTATATTCACAGGAAACCATATCTTCAAGTATTTTCAGAGCATGGACTGTCCATTTATTTGCACAAAAAAGTTGGAGTAGATTTTCATAAGAAGCCTTTGAAAGAGAATGCCCTTTCTTAAGCATAATATTTGATACAGATAATGCATCATGGGGTCTTCCAGCCTTACAAAAGCCCTTTATCAACATGTTGTATACCACATCATCAAGAACACAGTCATGCTCATTCATTTTATTGAAAAGATTAACAGCAAGATCGGTTTTACCTTTCCTAAAATGCCCATCAATGAGAATGGTAAGAGTCACGTGATTGGGAAGCAGCCCTTCTTTCTGCATCGTATCAAGATGATTGTATGCACCTTCCATATCATTTGCCCAACATAATCCAGCAATCACACTATTGTGCAGATATAAGTTGGGAATAAAGTTGCCTTTTTTCACTTCGTCTATCAATTTTAGTGCAAACGACTTTATTCCAACCCTTGAAATGATAAAGTTTTCTAAATCTTTCAGGCCGGGCAAATTAGTATACTCACATAGTAAATGGTAAAGCATCTCCATTGCCTTAACGGATCGTCTTTGTGACTTGTGACATTTCCTACTAATGTATCGGATATTTCTGCAAACGCCACTGACCAATGCAACATGGGTTATCACATCTTTCTCTATGTGGCTTTTCTCCATCAGAACAACTAACTTAAGAGCAATTCTAATTTCTCCCTTTCTAAAAAATTGGTAGATTAGAGAAGTATACAAAGCAGCATTAGGCATAAATCCCTCTTCTAACATTCTACCAAGATATATGTGCCCCTCTTGTATCATGTTTTGCTTAACAAGCCCATTTATTAGTGCAGTGTAAGCTCGGTAGCTTGGTCGAATACCATACTTCAACATTTTGTCAAAGACCTCACGAGCTGCACCAGCTAGTCTGTTCTTTGATAGACCACTAATCATTGTCACATACAGAGTTTCATCAGGGAAAAGTCCAACCTCATGCATTCTGTCAAACAACTGTGATGCCTCCAAAACTCTCTTTTCTTGAGCCAAACACCCTATAATAGAGTCATACATAGCAATAGTGGGCTTCACTCTAGTAGCTTCCAGCTGATCCAGAATGGAAATAGCATCATTTCCTAGTCCCATTTGGCAGAGACACCAAATCATGGAGTTATAAGCAAGGAGAGAAGGCTGAAGGGATAGAGTTGACATTTTATCCATGCATAACTCAGCAGCAATAAGTTTCCCTGCATAACACAGTGCAATTATGTGTATATTAAAAGCAATACGAGCTAAGCCTGAGTTTCGTGAATAAATTTCCTCTAGGAGAAGATCAATCTCAACTATGAAGTCATCAACAGATTTACTACTGCTACTACTACAAGTGGTGCTACAAATGCCACACCCATGTCTTCCAATTTCTGTCACAAAATTATGTGCAAGATCAATTTCATGCCCTACATAGTTTTTTACTACAGTAAAAAAGAGGACATCATCAGGAAAAAGTCCAGAATCAAACAGCTGGTTATAATATTGATCGGCTTCTGCTAACCGATTTTCCTTAACCAGTGCAGCAAGTAAAGGCGTGTAACAGTGCACCGTGGGTGCTAAGTTGCACTGCATCATATTATGTAACAATGTTAATGCACAATCAACTTTAAGATCCTTGCAACACTTGCTAATCATGATTTGGTAACTGACAACATTGAGCTTCAATCCCAGCTCTTTCATGTGGTGAAACAACACGAAAATTTTATCGATCATGCCTGTGTTAACAAAACCATGTATCAATGTATTGCATGTGTAATTATCTGGATGACATCCTAGTTTCAGCATTCTGTAAAACAATCTGAGAGCCATCTTCATTCTTCTTTTCCGGCAATACCCATTGATAAGAGCTGTGTACATGACTTTATCAATAAAGAAGCCAAAAGATTCGGCTTCCATACTCAAAAATTCAGCCTCCTCAACCCGCTCATTCTGGCAAAGCATAAAAACTAATGTTTTGAGTAAATGAATAGTGGGAGGTACGCTTTTATCACGCATTATGTCATACACGTATAGTGCCTTGTTTAAGTTCCCTATTGAGCTCAACCCGTCCACCAACCTATTGTAGCACCGGAAATGCAGTAAAAAATCAGCATCATGGACAGCTAGAAACACATCAAATCCCTCCAAGAATCTGTTTTGGGCACAAAATGCAGTAATAATGTCACTGCAGGCGGCTCGACAAGGCATGACTTCCATCTTAAGAAGTCTATCGAATTGAGACTTGGATTCTTCCAACTTACCTAACTTAGAATAGCAAACAACCATCGAGTTCAATAAAAAATGGTCTGGCTCGATTCCTCTGTTCAATATGAAGTCGACATAAACGGCCTCTGCCATCTTTGCCTCGCCACAAGTCAATAGTTTTCTGATAAGAAAACCATAACTCTTCATGTCAAGCTCCACTCCCCAAGAAAGGGCAAAATCAACTGCAGAAACGGCTTCAGGGACTGATGATGAATGTCTCACAATCTTCTGAACGAGCTTCTCAGCTGGATTGATTAATCCGCGTCTAATTAGCTGCTCTAATTCTGAAAAGCATGTGGCTTTTATTTCATGTGTGAATGCTTGAGTAGTAGCAGCAGATATGGGCGGATATTCTATGGGTAAAGGGGAAGTGGAGAAGGGTACTTTGCGGGAAAAGAACAGCAAGGGCTGGAGTGACCTGTGAGGCAAAGACCTGTACTTGGCCATCCTCAGGAGCCTTGCTGAAATTACTAAAAGACCTGTAAAAGGCTGGGATGTCATTCAAGTATTTTATAAAAACCTTATTTTTATGTAGCACAGTAGTAGCAAAGTGTTAATCGGTGCAAAGATATACCATGGAAAAACAGAATTGAAATATCTTAAACACCAAGCTAAAAATGATAGTATTACAATATTAATAACATCAAATAGAAATGAATCAGAACTTTTAAGGATTCATCTGTAATATTCCTATATAAAAATTGGAACAATTAACACACAAACACATACAAACATGTTTGACATAGCACCGGCTTTCTCATGTGGAGTAGTCAAGAATTCAAATAAGCTATATAACGAGGACTGTTGCAGCAGGCAATATGCCCTTCATTTTCATTAAAATGGTATAGCTTAGTATGGAAGAAAGGAGGAACGAAGTTATGAACATGAACAGATATAGGCTTTAAATGTGTATAAAAATGAAAATGAAATTTTATAAATTTAAAACCTGAAAGATGGCTTATTATCAATAAGGGACCTTTTTTTTTCATTTATCAATATGGGACCTGAAAGATAAAATGTGTCGGTATAATACCCGAGTGATTGGAAACTACGAATCTACAACCTGAAATATCATGAACTTTGATATTTTTTATTTTAAAATATTTTAATACTACCTCCGTCCCATATTGTTTGTCCTGTTTTAATTTGGCACGATTATGGGCTGTTTAAATAGTTTTCTCTGGGAATGGGCTGTTTGACTCAGCTGCTAGAAGTTTTTTTACTTCATGTGATCTCTCTATAGTTTCTTTATCTTTAATTTTCCTTTGAACTTAATTCCTTTGGCTGTCGTCCTTGCATGCCTTATCCCAACCCAAATGGGACCATTCCTCTCCAGTGTGTATTTGAATGTAGTGAATCCTCTTTTCCTTCTTTTTTATTTCCGCTTTTGTGAATTTTTTTCACAAGTTTACCCAAACTATTGTTATACTACCTCTGTTCTCTTTTAATTGCAACATTGGATTTTTTGCACTATTCACATATTCTACTTTGACTATATTTTATTTATTCATGTATTATAAGAAATAATTACATAAATATGACCAAAATAAAGATGGTTTACAAAAATATGACTAGTTACTAGAGTAGTAATGAAATCATAGTAATTCATGTTCATGTTTTGAACGTAAGTTACTACAACACTACGTTGTAGTAATGAATAGTCATATTTATGTAAATAAGTTTTATTTTAGTAATATTCTTGTAAAACACCCGTATTATAAATTAAATTTTTAAAAAATATTTTTAAATTCTTCTCATTCTAAATTTTCAAAATATGAATTTTTTAAATTTTTTTACTAATAAGGAATGAAAGATATTAATGGTCAAACTTGTGCGTTGGCAAACGTGAAATGTTGACTGTTGCAATTAAAAGGGAACGGAGGAAGTATATAGGTATTTTGGTGGTGAACTCAAATGCAATTTGTCTTTTGAAGTTTTTTCTCTCTTCTTGTGTTATGAGTCTTATAACTACTGAGTACAGACTCCCAAACTATTTTCATATATAGGTATTTTGGTTCCACACAAAAAAATGTCCAACCAAAAACATAAAAAGAAATGCATTCCCCATCTCATGTCTTTCTCTTGGAAAAGAGTGCTATTGCATGTACTGTTTTTGTTTGGAATACTAGACAAATGGCCCGTGCGATGCACGGGATATATTCAAAAAAGAAAGCAGCAGGCTGCTGGTATGCAGGCTGGTATATTAGTTATGCACTTTCATACTTGAAGAAAATTATAACCAAGTCACAGAGTCATTACACAATACTTCAAGAAAATAACAATGAAAGAGAAAATAACTAAAAGATTAAAGGTTGCCTGAAAAGGGTGCAAATTCACAAAATAGAGAAAATATATTATTTGTTGCAAATTGAACAAATTGGAATTGGACAATTACACTGGTCTACTACAAACTATGCACTTGTGTAAGAAAAAGCTCTAAGATTGCATGTGGCAATATATGAGGTTACCTAAACCTCTTTAATTATTTTGAAATTGGAATGCTTATGTATGTTAGTCTAGATGTTTAAACAAAGGTGCACATTTTTGTCTTTTTAGGCTACGATTTGAGAACACTAAGATTACAAGTAGTGAATAGATACAATTTTTAGTGTAGTACATACTGCAATCTTTTTAGATTTAGAAATCTCCCTGAATAGGAGTAAAAACGTTTTGAAATTCCAAAATAAGAACTTCAGTTTTTATTCCCTATATAGGAGTATATAGGAGTAATTTCTGCTAAGCTTGGAAAAAACTTGGCAGAAACTGTCATGTACTCATGTTTAAAGCTTGATAATGCCAAACTTGACAGAAATTACTCCTATTCAGAAAATAAAAACATGGCAGTCTTATTTTAGAATTTCAACATTTTTTTCTCCTATTTAGGGAATTTTCCCTTTTAGATTCCTAGACATCTTGATTAATTCTCTAATGGGAATAAAAGATGTGAACAAAAAGTTTAGTTTAAGGAATGAAAATAAAGATGTATACATGTACAGACTTTACTTTCTATTCAAGCTTAATTAAAAAAGTGGAGCACCTTCCCTTAATAAAACGCAGTTTTAGATTATGCATGTAAAATGTTGAACATTGTGAATTTACAAGCAATTAATTTTTTTTCTTTCTTTTTGGACTATGGCTTTAGAATACTAAGATTACAACGAGTGAAAAAATGCATTTTTATTTTAATTCATACTGCAACTTTTTTTCTTGCTTAGGCGCCTATTATCTACCAAAGAGGCCATGCTTTTGAATGCTGATGTACAAGTCAAGGAGCTGAAGAAATCCATTGATGCTTTGAAGGGAGAGAGTAAAAAATTGGAGAGTAACACAGTGCAAGCAGAGCAACGGGGAAAGACAAAATTGAGACAAGCTGAGAAGCAAATTGGAACTGTGATTCGCTCTGCTTATAAGATTGAAAGACAAACTGCAGGTTTGGAATATATTTTTAAAGAGCTTCCACACAGAGAAGCTTCTTTGGTTAGATCACGGGTTTCCAAACTTGCTTCTTTGAAAGAAAGGAATTCTCTTACAAAGGAGGTCACGGAAATAAGTAATCATGGCATCTCGGTCTGATTCCACCCTTTCTGCCCCCATTCTTTCTACTATGATCCGTTGTGGGCCACATTTTTGGAAATTTGTTCCACCAAATAAAAATAGAGTTTCTACAAGTTATAAATGTTTATATTCAGCCTGTGACGTCATTTTCCCTTCAGCTTGGATTGAATGAGATGGTCTATATACCAATAGTAAAAATACGGGAGGGAAGTGGTTTTAGGAAAATAAATATTTCCGTGATCAGCATTCTTGCTATTTGTTGTTTTTGCTTGAAGCTTTGGCCTTTTAGTTTGTTAAAAATGAACCACATTTCCTTTCCTTTCACTTCTACTTGAAAATTATCATTGTTTTAGATTTGAGAACTGTGATGGCAAGAAGTGAAAAAAAATGCAGACATTGCTGTTTAATTAATCTCTTAAGTATCCCATCAACACTTTATATTGGAGGGTTATTTGTGTCTTTTTAATTACCCCTCCATTATTTGTTCACGGACTTCACATGCTTTTCATTTTATGAAACTCATACTCTGGAGTAGTATTTTATCACTAGAACTCTTGCCAGCTGTTAGAGTATTACGAGATTTATGATAGTCGTCTGTCTACTCTTCTAAGAGGTTTTCACATCGCCATTGGTTTGATATGCACATCTTTAACTCAAGCATACGGATGTAGTGTTCTAAAGTTGCATGATCGATATCCAACATTGATGGAGTTTGGTTGAAGTTTATAGCTATCTCTACCACTTTGAGCATTGTGTTGGAGTATGAGGTTTATCCCGAGACTCTTGATGACCGGAAGACTTCATTTTATTTTGATGGTACATTAGCTATTAAACACTACATGAAAAATGTGTAATGTTTGTGTAACTACTATTGTATTATTTTTTCTGTACGCATAGTGGAGTGATTAGAAAACTCAGCTAAAGCTACCACATGTTCTCATTGTTAATTAAGAAGATAGCAATACATAAGTTATTCAGGCCTAATAAATACAGTAACAAAAATAAGCAACCCAATCACATAGTAGCAATAATCAAGAAGATAACAACAGATAAGAAATTAACAAGATTAATATTTAATAATCTATAATTAAACAGAAAAATTAAAAAGTCAGAGTCTTTACCTGGTTCATCAGTAACTAGTAAGCACAGTGAGCAGGAGCAGGCAGCAGCCCAGGGGCGAGGTGAGCGGCTGAGAGAGCCCCTACGAGGCTGCGAGCGGAAGCCTGGAGTAGTGGAGGAGTGGAGGCGTGGCGCGGTGGCGGCGTCCGGGCGTGGCCGCGTGAGGCGTCGTCCCTCCCTGTGTCGCTTGCACTCTTGCAGACCCAGCTACCGTAGGCTTATTGTACATTTGGGCTGGCAGGGTAACTGATTACTTTGCGCCAAATCCGCCAATAACTTTAAATTACCTAAAGGGGTTTTTTCCTTAAAATAATACTAGACAATTTACCCAAAATAGGACTGACATATTTTTATTTTAAAAATAGGACTATTTACTGCCATGTTTTGGCAGTATCAGACTTCAAACATGGCAGTATTTTCCAAACTTGACAGTAATTACTCCTATTTCAGGAATAAAAAACATGTACGTCCTATTTTGGAATTTTCAAACTGTTTTAGTCCTGTTTCGTGAACTTTCCCTAAATACTACTCCATAATACATAGTAATAAAAAACTTATAGATAAAAATAGGGAGATTTCCCAAAATAGGATTAAATAGAGTTTGAATAACTAAAATATGATTGATATGGTTTTTTCCCGAAATGGGGTAAGATGACAATACATACTGTCATCTTTTCATCATGACTGTCAAATAGTTGCAGTACTATGCATTTAACATGACAATATTTATTATAATTAATAGCATTATTTTTCAATCATGACAGTAACGACTCATGTTTGGTATGATACTATGATGTAATGAACCTTGTCATGTAATGAGTATTACGTGTTGATTCGAATACGATGTTTGGTATGCCATTTTATTTTAAACTGTAATGTAATGGACATTACATGTGTACAATTCATTACATTCATAGGTGTAATAAGTTTTACATGGAAAAAGTTGTGTATTTGAAATTACCCATTATAGGGTGTATTTGAGATTATTAAAACTAGGCATCGACCGGGCCCGGGATTGGGCGGGACTGGGTTTTTGGGATGAAGGCCCGGTACCGGCCCGAGTTTGAACCGGGACAGGGCCGGGACTGGGTTGGATTTTTTTAATTAGTCTTTTCGAATTTATTCCCCCCAACCCAACCCACCTAGCAGTAGCCCGATGCCAATAGAACCCAACCCACCTAGCAGTAGCCCAATGCCAAAAACTTAAAAAATGGCCCGGACCGAGCCCGGCCAGGCCGGGTTGGTCCACTAAAATCCAGACCTGTAGCCCTCCCCATATACAGCCGGTTCGGGCCCCCGGTCCCAGTACAACCCACCGAGGCCGCGGCGGTCCTGCATAGTATCGGGTCGATCCGTCCCAGTCCATCCCCAATTACAACCTCCTTCATTTTTACTTCCGCCCCCATCCAGACATTTTCACCCAGATATCGCGATTACGCGATCCGATCCGAATTTGAATTTCTTCTTCCTCCCACCGTGCCAATCGTCATATATTGCACTTGTTTGCCTACGCTGCTGAAATTATGTGTAGAAATTGTTCTAGGTAGGACTAAGAATTCCCTAAAATGAACAAATAGGACTACTACATTTTTTTTTGGAACAAGGCGGCTTAAGTTGATAATAAAGTATTCAACAAGGGACAAAAAAGATAAAGGAAACACTTCCAGCCACCGACCCTCGAACCAGCCTGAGAATCAATCACCCTGAACAGAGCAATATAATTCGTTGATCCTATAGTGGGTCTAAATGAGCCTAACGTGGCTAGAGCAAAACCCTCATCACCTCCACCTAATGTAAGAGTCTGGCAAAAATAAAAGTACATGACAAACAAAACAACATGTATTTCGAAATAAAAACGCAAACAAACTAAAACGGAAATAGAAATAAACTTCCAAACCCTAGTCACACAATTCCTCCATGACGGCGGTTCAGGAGGGGGACGAATCAACATCTCTTCGTCTTCTTTCGCCCATAGAAAATCACCGCTACCCGCTCTTAAGTCTTCCAATCCAAGATCTTCCCCCTCGATGAGCTCTTCACAATTTTCCGGCCGCCCCTTGCCCTCCTTCTCATCCTCAAGAACCAAGCCTTTCCACGATTGCATGAAATCTGCGATGGACGCCACTGACTCCCTGGACTCGCCCCTTGTCAACATCGCAGGATGCTGAAGCAGTAGTATGCGTCGGCCGAGGAAAAATCCAGGGGAAGAGAATCATCGCCCAAATAGAAACTCCCGTTCCCAGGTCTCCGAAGACGGACCAGGCCCTCACCGCAGTAGAAAAACTTTGCTAAAATACGAACGAAGAATATAGGCTGCTTGCTACAATACGCAAAAATGAAACGCCGGACAGGACTAGCGCCGCCGGAAATAAACGCTAGGGATGAACCCTAGAATCGACTGCTTTCCTTAACACACTACTACATTTTAAACCTTCCCAAATAGGACTAAACATAGATTTCTACCAGAAATACCTCTAAGGGTATTAATTCATAATGAAATGTTTTAATTCATAATAAAATCTTAAATAATAATAAAAATCATAACAAATATAAAACAACATAAAAACTAATAATAAAATATTTATAAAATAAAAAAATCAATTTTTTTGGAATTTTTGTTTTGTTTTTAAATTAATAAAAAATAGTAGAAACCCATAAAAAATATTGATACCTTTCCCAATGCCTCCCAGAACCACCACCTCCGACCGGTGAAAATTCTGCCATTTTTTTGTGAAAATAGCATTTTTTTTTCTGAAAATGCCAAGAAAATGACATTATTACTCATCATAATGCAAAAATTCTCTTCAAATATGCTATTATTATGGCATTACTAAAAATGTTGGCAGATTTGCAACTGGTGATGGGAGCTAGTGGTGGCAGAGGTAGCGGCGTTTTTTTTTCGTTTTTATGTTTTTTAATTTTTATTTTGTTAATTTTTTTATTTTTTATTTTATAAATTTTTAATAATTTTCATGTTTGGTATTATTTTTTATATTTTTTAATATTTTTATATGATTTTATTATTAATTCAGACATTCCAAAAGCTACAAGGGTATATTTGTCTAAACACACATAAATAGTCATAGTGAGGAGAATTAAAAAGATGTAGTCCTATTTGTACTCTTTGGACACTTTTTGGTCCTGCTTAGGTCATTTACTCAATTATGTAATGGTGATTACATTTCTATTACTCAAGTAACCAAACATAGTAATGGAATAGAGTCTCCATTCCATTACATTGCATTTTGTATCGCATTAGTGCATTACGCACTTCATTCCATTGCATTACATCATACCAAACATGGCCAAAGTTGTTTACCCTATTTAGGACAATTTCCCATAAAAATATTATTTAGTAACTATTAGTGACTATACTTGTGTTCATAAATAAAGTAGATATCTTTATAGTATTACTATTTGGATATTATTGTTGTAATTGCAACATAAAAAATATTATTAGTAAAAGTGATGGAGTATATGGCCCAGGGACCCCCGACCCACAAACTCCTGCTTCTCCTAAACAGACCTAATGAGCCCAGTAAGCACATGAAGCCCAGATACAGCGGCCCGAGCTTAAAGAAACTCAAAAAACGCATAAGGATGCCTTCAGCGTCACGGCCGAGGGCACCAAAACTCCGGGGACCAGTCACTCTTGGACCAACTTAGATACTGGGAAATTCTGGCTAAAATAGTAGCCTTCGGCTACGTGATGCCCTCGGCTACACGGTGCCTTTGGCTACATGATGCCTTCGGTCACGGAAGGCTCAGCGAAGCTTCCTCTGAAGACAGTCAACCACTGCATTCAATGCGGCGTCACGTCCAACCACCGCATTTAATGCGGTGAACATGCGAATGCCGGTGCCACCCCGATTGAAATGACCCTCAGTCGTCGGATGGTTGACACTTGTACGCGTATAGCATTTATGGCTGCTATAAATAGCAGCCCCTTTCCCTTTGTAAAGAGATCGAGCTCATTTATTACATCTGACTCTCTCTCTTACTTGCTTGCTCCGACTTCTCTCTAGATATTTCTTATAATATCCCTCGGATAAGCTACCCTCTGGGTACACTATCCATCAAATAGTTTTATGTAATAGTTTTTTTTTTAAATTTGAATTTGATTTATGATGATATAAAACTAGTATTGATGTTGATGATTGCATATAAGTATTTCTATGAAAATAGTGAATTACTGGTTTTCGTTCTTAAATTTGTATAGCCTTAATTCTTGCTACAAAAAAAGAATGAAGTACAAGATTTTCGTTTTCTTAAATTTCTAAATTCTAATGGCAGGTGAGGCACTGCCCATAATAACCAAGAAAGCTTCTTAACCCTGGAGTTGTGTAAGATTTAATGTTCCTTTAATTTTGTTCTTTTGTTTATTTTAGAATGTAACTGTTGAAAAAATGCCAATGCTGAGACGAATAGACGGTCAATTCTGCATTTTGGGATATTAAATGTTATAACTTTGTTTGTTATAGCCTTATTGTCATAATGCTTTCTGTGGTTTTATTGTTCTGATGCTTTCAGTTGATGAGTTGTTCCACGATAAGTTTGCCAGAGAGTTGATTCCTTCGAAGAATGAAGAATTAGAGAAAAATATCAGCTTCACACAATCCAGAACAAGCTGTAGAAGAAACCTAAAGAAGAAGACAAAGTCATTTCTGCTTCAAGGGACAAAAGGAGGAAGAATAGGAATGTGTCACTGCCAGATGGAAGATCAGAGAGGAACTCTAAGGCTGGAAAGGGTAGAAAATATTGTGTTGATTATGCCATTGTGATTGACGAGTGACAAAATGGTATGCTTCATTCGCCAAAACAAGAGAAGAAGCGAGCTTTGAAAATTGATTCTCCATAATTGCTTATGTGAAACCGTACCTTTATAGTTTCTATAACAATGCTTTGACATGTTCAATTTTATTGCAACTTTATATATACATATGTCAAGAGATTTTGGGGTGTTGTTATTATCAACAGACTCGTAGTGAAGGACAAAATGAAATTATAGCTATCTGAAACTGGTAAGTGTATCTTTGCTCTAAGTGTGTAAGATTTATGCCATTGTGTGGAGTGTCATGGTTTTGAAACCCTTTTTGAAGTGGTGAAAAATGCATTCAGCAAATGAACTGTGGTTTTAGCCTAATCCTTAGATGGTTGAGGTGTTGGCCATGCTTTTAAGCCTCGTAACGTTATGTAAGCATCATATTTGTATCTCTAGGACCATCAAAGGTCCTAGAATTTATTTT